ATGTTACTTGATATTTTTGATTTTTTAATATTTAGGATTTTTTTTTAAACCATCCTTGAACTATAACGTACAAAACAAAAAAAAATTATCAAAATCGTTCAAGCCGTTTTTGATTTATAGCCAGATTAACCCACAGAAATTCATTTTTATATACATAGATTACGATTGCTTCGCTGGTGATGAATAAAATTCATTGTCAGCAAAGTAACGGAGTAACGGAAATCATTTCTGATAAGAGAGTCACCGTGCTCTGGCCTAAAAATCGTGAGAGCTAGACTCCAATGACTTCTCTAGGGTAATTTTATTAATTATGATAATTCTTTGTACTCTGGATGGAAATCTAGAGCAGTTAGCCCAAAGCAGTCAACCGACAAACATCTTACGAATGTCCGGTGTCTGATTGACTTCACCCAATTTTAAAGTTTAGAATATAGTTAATTAATTATTAACCCTTAGTGTTAATTTATTTCTTATAAAACCGTTCCTAAAGTTCTTAAAATTTTAAGAGAGAGTCTAGTGACAAGGTCCACCTGGAGTCTGTCGACTACCTAATAACGCGGCTAAATCTGAAAGACAATTTAAATTAAACATCTCAATTTTTGGGAACGTTACAAATAATAATAATTGGAATTTTTCATACATTCATTATTATTAGTTCACACTACATTTTAATATTGCTTCATTATTATAGTTCTAAATAATTTTATTATTAAATAATTAATAGAAAGTAGTAAATTTAAGGTGAATAGAACTATTTCTTCTTTAGACATAACCGTAACAAGTCATAAATTTATAATGAATTTCACCCTAAATTTTATTATGGTGGGTATTAAATACTAATCCGATTATTCACTTTGAATCAGTGCACTTACTCATGATCTACTCCGAATACATATATATATGTGTATGTATATTGAATATACGTGTATATTTATTTTGAATTCAAATCTTTAACTAAAAGAATTATCAAAAGAATGCTTCCATTGTCATACGCGATAACGTGAAAGTTTTATTTACATTTCAATAAAATCCGTGAGAATATTATTGTATGAAGAAATAATTAATTAATATATAATACTAATGGAAAAGTTAAGAAAATTTTAATGTATGTTAATGTGTTAAGAGTAAAGTAAAAGTCTTATTAAAGTCATATTTCTTATCAATAAAAGTAAAAAGAAAAAATGGGTTAAGTGATATTAAATGTTAGTTTTCTTCCTACATTTTTTGGGATTTATTAAATATATCAATTATAGAAGAAATATTTTTATTTTAAATAAAAGGCACAACTCCTTGAACTGGAGTTGTGCCTTTTCAAGATTTTATATCATTCTCACCAATAGTCAACTTATGATGATAAGTATTTAAGCTGCATTCGAAAATGCTCTATCTCCGGATACATAATTAAGAAGGGACCTTGTATTTTGTGAACTATTAATATTTTTAAAGATATAAGCTTATCCCGATGTTAAACTCATAAAGTTCTTTCATTTGAGTAACCACATCAATTTTTCATATATTTATATATGTTATGTGTATGTATATGTAAAAAATATACACAGTAAGAAAAATTTCTTGACTGGAGAATAAAATTCTTGGCTCAAGAAAATTTTCGGGTGCCTGAAGAAAGACCGAAGTAAAAATTTTTCTTGAAATTCTATTCTTGGTGGAAGTAATTTTTTTTTCATTCAAATTATCATAAATACTTGATATATTTCTTTTTTTTTTTTTTTTTTTTTTTTTTTTTTTTATTAGGTCTTCGCGCTTCAGCCTATTGGCCTGGAAGCGGGGGACTACGTCCCATCCTATTATTTTTTTATCCTATTCACCCCCACTTCAGTGGTCCTCTCGTCTCCTACTGGTTTTTTGCGTCTGTGGACCGGCTTGTGCTTTTTGTACTGCATTTGTCCTATTCCTCACCTCTTCCTAGGCTCTTGAAATAGTGACATGGGGAAACCACAGAGAAGAACCCATGCCAGTACAATCGGAGCAGGGCTAAGCTCACGGTAATCGATAAGAATACTCTTATTCTTTTATCGTAAATACTTGATATAATAAAATATTATATTTGATCAAGATTTTTAGATACTTTAGGGAAGCAATGCCACCTACTTGCTAACAGCGGAGAAAAAAATTTTCTCACCTTGAGAAAATTTTTCTCTTGAATATTTGATACCCTTTTTATATCATTTTAGCCTGCAATTAAACATATTGAATGAAAAAAAATGATTCAATATTATTTGATCTTCCCATTTGATATGTTGATCAATAAAAATATTAATGAAAATTTACTTCTATCTTTATATTTAATTTTTTGGAGCAAGAGAGAAATTTTCTCAAGACAAGAAAATTTACTTCTATTAAGAACTAAAATTTTTGGAGCAAGAGGCTGAATTTTCTCTAAAACAAAAAGATTTTCTTGACTTAAATAAATTTTCTTCGATTAAGATACGTATTTTTTAAAGCAAGAGAATTAATTTTGTTGGAATAAGTGAAATTTCTTGTGTCAAAAAAAAATTTTCTTTTCGCTCAAGAAAATAATTAGGAAGAAAAATATTTTCTTGGCTCAAGTGAATCTATTTTTCTGTGTATCAAAATGCGTGTAGGCACTCAAATGAAAACTCTTGATGAGTATAACATCGGGATGAGCTTATTATTTTTAAAAACGTCAATAGTTAAAAAAGTACACTGCAATTTAACAAAAATCATTATTTAATAAAGCAAAATTTTATTTATTCATAGTTCACAAGTCACGGCAGTCACATAGTGACTGCAAGGTTGCAAGTTTTATTTAATTTAATTTTTCTTTCTAGGAATTATAATCTTTATTTTCTTCAGAGTACTTTAAAAGATTTTACCGTGATATATTTTGTAAACATATACTTGAAGTGTTTTTTGTAATATGAGCTAAGTATGAAGACTAAGAATGATCTTCATTCTTTATTTATTTCAGTTCTCTAAACCACTTCACCCAGAAAGGTCACAATATAATATTTTTCCGAGAGTTTGTAAAAATAATTTAAAATTTAATAAGAAAAATTATTTTCATTTAAATTAAAACTTAACTTTATTTTTAATTATCAATAAATTTGTTAATAAATTCATCAATTAAATAATTAAATTACAATTTATTTAAATCTGTTGTTATGTAAAGAAATTTTTCTTTACATATTTATTAACTATAAAAATCGAGTATGATTTTATTTAAATTTTAACGATTGTAAAAGATAATTCGAATGCGGTCATTAAGTGTCTCGTTCGATTTTTGCAAAAGGCCCAGGGAAATTTCGGTAATTAGTCTGGAGCCCAGGTATTTTAAAGAGATTAAATAGATAAATGGGAGTTTTGTTATACGTAAGCAAACTCACTTATACTTAAAATAAGAAATACTTAAGTAATGATAAAGAACATAAGATAAAAGATTTATTTTAAACCGAAAGATTTTAGAATAACTTAATGACAGAATTTTAGTGTTGAGAAAAATATCGAAATAAATTTTAATAATGAACTTTTTGAAATAATTTTTAGACAACAAAATTAAATATGAAATGAAAAACAAATAAAAAAAAATAAAACTTGAAAGTTAAATAATTAAAAATAAACAAATATTAAACAATTAAATTCTAAAATAATACAACAAATTTACAAAACGACAAAACAGAAATATTTCTACAAATAAATAATTTAAATTCAAGAAAACGTAAGAGATGCTAGATTCAAGTACATATTTATTCATATGATTTTAATAAATAAATTAATGTAGACAGTACAAATGTATGTCTTTGTCTATGCGTAAATGCGCTTACGTATACACAAACACATAGATGAATAATAGAACATAAGAGTAAGTGAAAAAGTATGTTGCACTCAGACCCAAGTAGAGGGACTCATGCAACATTTTTAGACAATTTTAAGAGAGAGGGTAAGGGCCCGAGAAAATAGACAAATAATTGGACACTTGTTTACCCCAATGAGTGGAAATTAATAACGCCCTAAAATTCGACACCTTGCAATTGTCACCAAAAAATCTCTCTCGTTGTCCTGACGTCTTAGTGTTAACATCGTACAGGGTTTAAATAAGTCTCAATAGACCACGTGTAAATCGATTGTATAAAAAGTAAAACATTTGTAAAGGTAAAGTAAAATCGTAAAGTGAAACCAACTAAAATAAATTAAATCAACAAGGTTCATCAATTTTTTATCAGGTATATTTTAAATTATTAATATTTTTGAATTTGGTAATATTGTAAAATCGTTATATGAAAGAAAAGTTAACTTCAATCACTGTGTAATAATTGTAACTATTGTAAATTAACTAATGATATTATTTTTGGACTTAAACAATATATGTATTAAAATTATTCAACTACATCAATTTATTCAAACAAACCTATTTTTCTCAATAAATTAAAACTCGGAAGCTCCCGGTCTATTAGCCTAACACGCTAGGATCGAATACTTAAACACATTAAATATTTTAAATGTAAAATTAATTAATTACCCTAAATTAATATTTTTTACATAACACTGTCAAATTTTTAAATTTTAAATTTTGTTATCTCAGATTTAGTTCGCGAATTTGACACTTGTTCCGGATCTAACAGCGCGCATAACAATTAAAAGTTTGGAATCTTAAAAATTCGAAGATAACCTATACTAAAAGACATTCGCTTTGTTGTTTTATAAAGTAAACATTGAAAAATAATGCACATAATAAATAAGTATTTTGATAACAAAAATTTTTTTTACGCACAAAATTATTGCTGAAATTTATTTTCAATTTAAAATTTTATTAAACTAACCTAAAATCTTCTTAACATCTTCGCTTAAGAAATAAAATATAACTTATAAAAAAAAATTGTAATTTTTCTTCTTTATTAATATTATAATTTACTAAAAAAATAAAAAAGTATCAAGATTTTTAAGTAATACATTTTACTGTGATTAGATTTTTGCTACTGTTTTTTTTTTTTTTTGTGAATTTATCTATTAAATAAATAAAAATGCCAAGTAAAAAACTGGACGATCGTGTGCACAAGCGATTAGTTTTACAAGTGCAAAAGTATCGAGAAGCACAAAAAGAAGCTACTCGAAAAATTGATGACAGTAGTAAATCAAGTGACAGTAGTGATCATGGATACAGTGATCATGAAGAAGATCAAGATCGGAGTCATGAAAGTGTTTCATCAAAGAAAAATCAAAATGATAATGGAAGCGTGGATATTTGTGATAAAGTGACAACAGGTAAATTTTTAATAATAATAAAATTAGCAGACATGTGACAATTTTTTTTTTATTTACATTACCAATCAATTATGAAAAAAAATAATCTTTATTATTAAGAGAATAAGCAAAATTTTGTGGCCAGTGTATTTATATGATAAAATGGGTTTTTATGGTTAAATTTGGTATCGTTGGAAAAGTCTTGACCTGGAATTGTGTCTTTTCATGGTTTCATATCATTCTCACTGATAGTCAATTTATGATGATAAGTAATTAGGCTGCATTCGAAAATGCTCTATCTCTAGATACATAATTAAGAAATTAACTTGTATTCTTGTGAAATATTGAAATTTTTAAAGAGATAAGCTCATCCCGATGTTACACTCATCAAGAACTTTCATTTGAGTACCCACATGCCTTTTGATATATTTTTCATATATACATATATATAAATATAT